CTTAATAAAAAAATAAACTTAATTAAGTAGTCTCACAGTTTTTATTCATTCATTTGAATCATTCAGTCATTCATTTGATTCATTCATTTTATTCAGCACCATTACTTACCCAGTTTACCATTAGTGAATTTTAACCAACTTTTAATAAGTTTTATATTTAAAAGTAGAAACATTTATAAATTCATTTTTATGTTCTATTAAACTATATTAAACTAAAAAATAATTCAAGTATTAATCCATTAACTACCACCTATTTTTGGTGTGCAGCTCCAGGGTTTAATTATATAAAAAATTACAATTATTAGAAAAAGAGCAAACAAAAATATTCAGAAATAATCAGAACTAAATTACATAAAAAGTGTAACTAAATGTATTATAATTTAAATCTCAATACTGTTTAAAATTGATATTTGGATATTTCTCAAAGCAAGGCACAACACATAATCCAACATCACATTTTTTTCATGGATTGTTTCATTTATTAAAACACACCTTATTAGGGCGGAGTGAAAATAACATTTTTCAGAAATACAACTGATTTTTATATTAGCTATAAGAAAACTAAAAAAACGAGACCAAAATAAGCAAAATTGGACAAGAATTATCCCATGCAGCAATTTTTGACTAATACTAGATATTATGGGTATCGCAAATTTTACATTAAAAATTGTTTTTTTAAGCAGAAGTTCAAAGTGTATTAGGTATTAGGATGGAGTGAAAATAACTTTTTTTATAAAATTCCATTTTTTCCCTTATAACTTCTTATAACTAATAAAGTTATAAGAAAACTAAAAAATTTAGACTAAGATGAGTAAAATCAGACAAGAATTACCCCCTGCAGCAATTTTTAGACAAACTAGGCAAATTTTCAAAATTTTCATACTTTAAATTTTTTATTCCAAATATTGGTCATTTGTTTTCAGAATTGGATAGACCAACCAGATGTTGGTCTATCCAATTCTGAAAACAAATGACGTAGTGGAAGCTCATTTGCATGTAAAACAAATTACTCATTGTAGAGGCTGTTGGAGATCTAACTCAATCAATCTAATTACATCACCTTTATCTCCAGTGTTTACATTCAAAGCCACAATATCGTTTTGGATGATTTACACTTGTAAATCATCCAAAACGATATTGTATTTTTAGAGTACTTTAAAACTTGAGATTTTATAGCTTCAGCTGTTCTGCTAAGAGGAGTGCAATGTCCCAAAAAGCCCCCTCCAGGTTCCTGAATCAAGGATATGTGCTCTTCCATCACTATGGTTTTGTTCTTATTAAAAAAAATTTAAGGGTCTGGTCTTTTTTTCTATCAAAATACAACGCTTTTACTTTGACTTTGCTAACTTTTAAGTTATCCCTGGCTTTCATGCGCTCGCGTCTTATCTTGTGCTCACGTCTTATCTTGCGCTCACGTCTTAATTGTCAATAACAAATTTTTTGAAAAATTTTTTATCATTTGAAATAATGCCAATATCTTCAAGAACAGCTGATGCCAGAGCTGCAGCAGATCTGTCTGAGAGTCCATGGCGGTTGTAGACTACTGATAAAGAAGGGAGAGACAATAGCATTTACTTTGAAGATGATAATGATGATGATGGAGTGTTTTTATCTATAACAGACCATTTTAAAGTACTGGGTGTGGCAGAAACAATAGGATCTAATGGCACTGCATCATTAAGGTTTGAGCTTTGTTTGCTTTGGGTATTCTGCAGTTTTGCTGTAACTTATTTGTCTGTTGATCCAATACCCATTTTATGTTCAATTCTTTGATCTTCCAGAAAAGTGTGCTCTATAGTTAGTACTATATTAACTTTGGCACAGCAGTATTTTTTTGATCTTTGTATTGGCAAGCAGAGAGTTTAGGTAGTTTGTCCTTATAGAATTGAAAGTTATTTTTTTTATTTTCTCTGTCAGCAATCTTTTGTAGATTTTTGCTCTGCTCAAATAGGTTATAAATATTATATATATAAATATTATATATAAATATTATATATATAAATATTATATATAAATATTATATATATAAATATTATATATAAATATTATATATATAAATATTATATATATATATTATATATTTTTGTTAAATAGGTTATAAACTCTATTTTGTCAATGATGTAAAATGATGAGACAGTAGGTATGTTGCATTTTTTCCCAAATTTTTAAGACCTGCATTGCAGTTGAAGCTGCTTCATTCTTTTTGCTGGCTTTTTCAGGAAGTTTCTGTAAATTTTTATTATATATTTAACTTTATTATTATTTGAAAAAATGATATGCAGTATAGGTTGCTTACATTTTCTCGCAAATACACTGTATGCCACATCACCTCTAGTCCTATTGGCGGTTGCACATCAGAGAGCGGCTTTGAAAACCCAAAGAATGGATAATCTGATTTAGATCTTAACATCGTATTTACTGAAATATATTTAGCAAAGTTTTAGCGTATTATTACTACTATCAAAGTATAAGTAAACTTGCAAAGTAAACTCTATATAGAAACATAACACGTCAACACAAACCATATTCGATTAAATAATATTCTTAATAAATATATCATACATTATAACGAATTTATTGTTCAATTATAAATAATATTATAATTTACAAACAAAATATTCTTACTATCATTGAAAAATATGGTTTGTAATTTTGAGTAGAGCATGTATTTTATTAAATTTAATGTATTTTATTAAATTTTATGGCTAATATTCAATTTTTTCAATTGAAATATCTTTCTTTTAAATGTACTTTAAAAAATTTCAATAACTTTTTTAATACAAAAGTGATTACTTTGGTCATAATACAAATTCAAACATACCATAATACAAATAACATAACATAATACAAATATCAAACATGAGAAAGGAGGCGAACGAGGACTTGCAACGCAATAATAACCTAGACCAGCCCTTTTGATTTGTCATTAGAAGCAGAAAATTACTGTGCATCGACGTCACTACAATAAAAGGCATTGGCAATCGCAAAGTTCACCCATTTGTCAAAGCGTTGCCAAGCAGGCCCGGAGGGGCGAACTGGTGCTCAATAAATTGTAATAATTTTCATTTAATTATTGGTTGTGTATATAGACCACCAATGTAACTTTAAACATACCTAATATACTTTTACTTTGTAACTTTAAACATACCTAATATACTTTCACTTTGTAACTTTAAACATACCTAATATACTTTCACTGTGTAACTTTAAACATACCTAATATACTTTCACTTTGTAACTTTAAACATACCTAATATACTTTCACTTTGTAACTTTAAACATACCTAATATACTTTCACTGTGTAACTTTAAACATACCTAATATACTTTCACTTTGTAACTTTAAACATACCTAATATACTTTCACTTTGAAACTTCAAACATACCTAATATACTTTCAATTTGTAACTTCAAACATACCTAATATACTTTCACTTTGTAACTTTAAACATACCTAATATACTTTCACTTTGTAACTTTAACTTAAAAATATAATTTTAAATGTAAAATTTGCGCGACCAATAATAAGTAGTATTCGTCAAAAATTGCTGCAGGGGGTAATTCTTATCCAATTTTGCTCATTTTTGTCTCGTTTTTTTAGTTTTTTATAGCTAATATAAAAATCAGGGAGAAAAGTTGTATTTCTGAAAAATATTATTTTTACTCCACCCTACTACACATCTTCTTGTAGGAGTATTTTGTAAGCAGTATTGCACTGAATTTGGCCAAACACAGCGTCAATTTTTTTTTTTTTTTTGGGCTAAATTCAGAAGTTGAGGACTCTTTTTTTTTTTTTTTTTTTTTTTTTTAAATAGAAAATATTGTTTTTTTTAGCAAAAAAAGTAGCTACTTTAATTACAGCACAGGTGGTACCACTGCCCAAATTAATTTCCTAGAATAACCCCTGGTAATGGTTAAACTGTGAATCAAAAAAGATTCTCTTCCAGTTAAACAAGTTGCTTACAAGAAAACTTCACTTATAACTCATATTTTAAAGCAATTTTCCTATTAACTTTAGTTGAAAATAAAGAGCAGCAAAATAACCATTCTTTTTTTTTTTTTTTGCAGGCAGTTACTTTTTAATAAGGAAACCATAATAAAAATATGCTGTGTATCATCACTTTGATCACTTTCAGTAACTGATTTGTATACAAGACCATCACATCTTTTTCAGAGGAGATATCTGTCCTATCAATCATATCATCAAAGTCACTACCACTAAAATCTGAGATTTCATGGTCACTTTTGAGAATAAAATCAACATTATCTTCTGTTAAATTCAGTTTACTGTCACTAGTTTTATTTTTTTTCAACTTGCCTTTTTTAAAACAATGTTTACTAAAACTTAAACTGAATCAATTACATTTATAAAAAAAATCCAGTATGAGCTTAAAATTTAACATAATAATTCACTACAATAAATGATTAGTTACGCCACAAGGTTTGATGTAAGTGTCATACTGCTTTAAACAAAAATTTGTGTGTATATACATTATCGCTGCGTTTTGTCTGGCAAATATGTAGAGTTCGGCAAATGCATCTGCGCAGATCTGCGCAGACATAATATGCGCAGATATGGCACAAGAATGGCACAAGTCTGGCACTTGTTTAGCATGTAACAAAACTGTTCAATGGTCGAAGGAACGCCTTGCAGCTCATAAAAGATCAACATGTCAAAACGCCAGTGTCAAGGAAAAAAGATTGTTTTCTAAGCGTAATTATGAATCGTCACATCTGATCAATGTCTCTCAGCAACTTCCGTCTATGTCTGATTCACCGATGCAGCGTGTACATCCACCGATTAATGAAGAGCTCAAAAATGATATCGACTCAAAGCTTGCAAATTTCTTTTACCGTACGTATATCATTTTGTTTAGTGGAATCGGAGGTCTTTAAGGATTTTGTGAAGTCGCTCAATCCATTGTACGCATCTGTCAAAAAGAAAGCTATAGCCTTATCAGGATCTCTGCTCGACAAACAATACACAAAATGTTCTATTT